ACCACGGAAATGTCCATACGGTGCCATCTGTATAAAACGTTTTGTGTTCGAACAAACTATGCACCAACCAATAATCCACGCAAAAGTGGGACAGACTCTTTTCCGTATGTCTCCATGTACGCACGGTGGTGGGCTCATTAAAACACTGTGCCATATGTTTCCTTTTTCATTTGTGGTTCCAATTCTGGTCATCTCAGGGGCCTTGCTAAGCAACAATGTATTTCGCACACGATACACTAGGATTCCAATATTCTAGCGTAAACATTACTAAATAATTAGGATGGATGACCAACGGTTCAAAATATGAAAAGTCGCACTCATTCTCTCTCTCTCTCTCTCTCTCTCTCTCTCTCTGAACAACTAAACTGCTTTGGATGCATTCAGACATGATCGCGCCACACTACTCGTTTAGACGGAGGTATAAACTTGGGGAAATAATTTAAAAGCCCGGTTACATTAATGACACTTGTCTCGACTTACTCGGATCGGAAAGCTCTAGTCTACTTTGCTAAATTGTATTTCGAATGCATTCATTCATAGAAGTCATTAGCGATCAGACCCCGGAGTAGCTAAAGTAGTATCGCAAAGTTATTTTGTGTCATGGAAATAGTCAATTGCAGTGCATTTCCAGAGTACAGATCGACCTACGTCAAAAGATTGCAACATAAAAGTTACCGGGAGAATGCTTACGAAGGCAGATAAATTATGTGTTTGCCGCTCTAAGACCGGTTCCGTGCTCTTAGGCGGTCATCAGATATCTTACTGATTCGTTCGAGCAGCTCACAAACCAGGCATTCTAAGTACCATTCCGGACGACACTAACCGACGGTTTCGCTCTATTAAGGTTCAGTGGTGTACGCTGCTAGCTAGCAGGCTCAACTGCCAGCAACCACTGGTCCAGTTCCCCAAAGAGGACGGAGGGATTCTGGACCACTACCGAGCCCCAAATAAAGGAAACGTCGTGTGGTGCCCTCCCTTATTGGGTGTTAAACTACCTGGCTTGTGAGCTGTTGGTATGAATCAATGAAATGTCATCGAAAGAAATACTACTAATTAGTAGTCAGCAGACAGATAAGGTAAGACTGCGACTCGATCTCGTGAACTTGAAGTTAACTTCCATCGAATGGTGTACGATAGTGATAGGAATAAGGCGAATGATGATTTTTATTCCCGATTACACGAAGCTCGCAATTTTCATTGAGCTCAAGTGTTGGAAGTTAACTTGTAGTTCATGTCTCACAGTTAATGACGTATCATAAGGACCATTTTGAAGCGGCCGTTGTGTGAATGGATTGCGACGCGCAATAGTGTAAACCGACACTATTCCTGAGATGAACCTCGGACCAAGTTTATATTTATCGTAGGTGAATGTTTCTTTCTTGCAAGATTTCTCCTCAGGCTTGCACAAATTTATGTCCATCAAAATTTGTGGGCACAACACAAGATCACTTCTGCAGCCAGTGCGGCACTCCATGAGGCCAAGGTCACAACCCGCTTTTTCGGCCCAAACGATTAGTGAACCCTTGCTGAAGGCACAATTTCGCTTCATACAGCTCAATCGCGATGACCACAGCGGCTTCTGGCCTCCGCATCGGCAGACACTTCGATCAAATATCAGGCATTTTATTGGAAGACTTGGTTGTCACATTTGACCTAGGAATGTGCTGACTCGGATTCGTGTAGTCACGCGTTAGTCGCAATCGCGGGCTAACTGGCATCAAGTATCAAGGTCTAGAGAAAAAGTGGTGCAGTTCAGTGGCCCTTTTGTTGTATCCGCACGCTTTGCTCAACCTAGGAGAAAGTTTTGAAAACAAATTCACATTTACACGGGCTTAGGATTCCGGAATTTGACAGCGCGGAAAAAGAGGTTAAAAACAGTTGACAGACCGTATACAATGGACGACACAAATATGCAGTTAAGAAGATGAAATTCAGAATGGGAGCAACACCTACCGACATAGTAGGTTGCTTCCATGTTTCGTTTAGTAAGTACCATTAAAAACATCAGCTATTTGACGCACTTAGTTAGCCACCTGGTTAGAATGTTAAGACAAACTAAAAGGTATAAATTTCACCCTCGTGATGAAAAGTTGCGGTTAACTTCGACCTTCGATTCATTTGTATCCATGCGTTCAAAGGGGCTACTATTTCTTGATATATACATTTTAATGTACTCTTAAGTAGGGGATTTCGAAGTGATCGAGAGTTCGTCGCACCAGCTTCCAAATCTGGGAGCGAGTATGCTGTACACACAACGGTAAGATAATGAGTATCAATATATGTAAATAAAGCTAATCGATAACCTCACCAGGGCAAAGCGGGCATGGTCGCAAACTCAGTCTGCTTATTAAATTTGATTTCATTCGACGAATCGCTGCAGACTCTGCAAACTGGAGCCGAACAGCAGTGCTCTGTTGAATGAGCTGAAACCCAGTATATGGAAGTAGACGGAGTTTATGACTTCCTACACCTTGCTCTGGTGAGGTTATCGAACAGCTTTCTTGAAACAGAACGATTTCACGTAATGGCTTACCGTCATGTGTGAAATATATCGATTCCAAAAATTGCATGTACACGGCTGATGAGAAGACACGACACATTTGCATTCAGATTATTCTGTTGAAATATCGCTTCTTTTGGTATTTTGAAGTTTGTGAAGGGAAAATCCTGCATGAAGCATCCGGGAGCGTTAGCTACTTCGTGCAGAGATTACGTACACTCCGTCATTCAAAGCCGGAATTTCGCGAGCAGTAACTACACATGCTCCCAAGCTTATTTCTTGGTTGATGACCATGATTAGCTAACCCTATAATTGTTAATTGTTCATTCTCATATATGTTTCAGTAAAATTACCGCGTTCAATGTTCTCTAATAGACTAAAACGCAGGTACAATGTTGGGTAAAGTGATTAATGTGTGCTAGTCTGACTTGGTAATATGTACTTGTAATCCAAACCGCATACACGCAATGATCTACCATATGCGCATTGGAAAATGACTCTTGGGAATTATCGTGAATAACAGTAGCTTGTTGCGTGGATGAAAGTACTGCGTTGTTTTCCGAGTTAGATGTTCTATCCTCAAATGTTCCAGTACCATACCAAGAAACAACTACGATATAAAATTGTAAAAATAGTTAATTGACACTGTTCTTGGTGCCTCTTTTAGATCATGATACCTAGTGCTTAAAGGACAGGTGGTGGGCAGGTTATTAATCAATATCTTTGTCACTCTAACCTGATACAGATTGCAGGCTTTGTCCTCAGAGCTTCCTACACAGCCCCTGTCTCCAAGTTTCGTTGAGTCAGTTCTGACCCATGTACTAAGTCACGATAAATTCACGCAATTTGTGACAACTTGCGCTTTCCATCTCCCAACGCTTTCCATATCAAATTGACGGGTTTTAACCTTTAGATACATTGACACCAGTGAGCTATGATCATGTCGGCTGATGACCAGGTTAGGTCTGTGTAATCATGTGTCAATATTATTTGGCGTCTGTCTCACAGTGGAATTGTGGTATTCATCAAACAGTGCAAAGCATGCCCGCTGTCTGTTCTTTGCGCAACCCGTCCCTAACATTGGAAAGTATGTACCAATCCTTTATCGCTTCTTTGTGCAAATTCTCTCTCCATAATCAGTAAAAGCCGGAGTCTTTTTAACTGTTGCAATCGTGGACGTTATTTGGGATGGCTTTTTGGACAATATACAATGTAGGATTGAACTCTTAAGCATGAATCACTTATTAATATCTAACAGATGGTTCAAATCTCATTTTGCCCAGTTGCGGCGTGCTGCAGTCTTTTCGTCGAAGCTATTGGGATACAAATTCTGAGCCAGATGGCTATGCTTCCCATGGGTGGCCATGGTTACAAAATCGAAGTCCTACTAAAATTAATAATATTCTGGACTACTGAAAACTTGATAGTAGTATCATCTTTTTCTGTTCATACCACGTAATTGGTGGAAATTCGTCACACCTAGAGTCAGTCAGTCAGACAGCCATCATACACATGTACGGTGGCGGCATACTTCCAGGAATCGTAGTAGTGCGCATTCCATGTGACCTCTGTGAAGATCGAACCAGCAATTCAACTGTTGTCGATGTGTGCCTGAGACCACTGAGCTACGGCAGGCGGTGACAATTTGTGTGACTAAGTTACCAGATGTGATATTGAGCCACACACTATCCAGTGATTTGCACGTTACTGCCGTGCAGTGAACACGTTAGCCACCATAGCAAGTTTGGTGGCACCATATCACATACAGTAACTTGATTACAATGGACGATACCAACAACCGTAGCCCAGTGGTCTCAAGCACAGACTGGCAACAGTCGAGCTGTGGGTTCGAGCCCTACAAGGGCTAGATGGAAGGTGCATTAGACGATTCCCGGAAGGATGAAACGATCGTACAGTGCCTTTTAGAGAGAGTGTTGGCTGTCTAAGTCGAGAAGTAAGGAACTTCTGCCCATACCATTTAAAATCCTCTACTACCCCAATGGAATAAGTATGCAAAGCAAAGTGCTTATAATGCTATAAGAGCCATCGGCAGTTTGAGTTTGACAAATTCATCGGCTGGTAAAGGGGCTACCCTATCCTCTACACGGCAGTAACGTGCAAGTCAGTAAATAGTGAACAGCGCTATAGCAAGTATAGTAACATTCATGGTAGCTATTACCGTCCCATTTGCAGAATGGCGACAGTCGAGTTGCGGGTTGAGCCTCACAGGGTTAGGGTAGAATGCATACTGCTGACGATTACCCAAAGCATGGAACGGCCGCACAGTGCGTTCTCGGAAGTGTGATGGCTGTCTGACTGAGTATAGATGTGATGAATTTCTACTTGTACCTTTCAACTCCTCCTCCTCCTACTCATTTGTGATTGATAGTTTGCTCGTTGTTTGCACAAACAGGCGGTTATTCAAGTTCATACTACCCACTGCCATATTCTAACAGCCCAATAACCGGTGTGAACAATACCACTGTTATCTCTTACCCAGGCTATCAGCATTACACAAAGTGGAAGTCCAGAAGAGAAATTAGATTTGGCATTTCAATTGTACGATATAGACCGGAACGGAACAATTGAGGAGTCTGAAATGACGCAGATAATCACAGTAAGTCACGGTAATGCACCTTGCTTCATTGAAAAATAAATCGTGATGATAATGTACTACTCATGTGCCTTGAACTGACGTTCTGCGCCACAAATAAGGAAGCTTATCACTGCGGCTCCATGAAACAGTGCAACTCGTTAAGACAGCAATTCGACAGATTCGTTGAAACACAATATTCAATAGTAGCGACTCATCCTGGCTTAATGGCAAGGTAGAGCCCAATAAGTGGATCTACTTGGTTTGGCTCTTAGAGACTGAGACTGTATTTAAGAGCAAGTAGAAAGGTTTCTGTACAACTCTATTGAATTACTAAAAATCAAAAACATTTAGTTGTGAATCATCAGCAGTTGTGTCTGGTCCGTTAATTGTTTATCTTAGTTCGGTTAGAAATTTGTACTAGTGTCATTATTTCCGGACATACAATGTCTTCTTTTGGCATTGTATGTGCATCGTTTCACAAAAGCACAGGTTTCCGAAATAATCGTCGATACGGGTTTAAAAACACTTCACAGAATCAGCCTATATTAATCCTTCAGGTAGTGTATTCCATAGGTTTACGTTTCTTCGTTCGATACAAAGCTGATGTGATACTTTGTTCATGTTGGGGACCCTGAGTTTGTAACGGTGTCCTCGGGTGTTACAGGGTTCCCGCAGGTGAAATATTGGCCAAAGTATGGGGAAGTGATTTAAGTGTAGCACTCGATGGGTCATAATAAGGTCAATTCTTACTCGGCGATAGGATAGTGTGTAGAGTCCGAGCCTTCCACAACGTTTTTCATACGGAAGCTTTTGTAGACTCGGTATCATTCTAGTTGCGATATGCTGGATTTTCTCCAGCTTTTTAGTTTCCCATTGGGTTATCGGATAGTAAGCTGGGGCACTGTATTCAAGCATTCGTCTAATGAGCGAGGTGAACAGAGGAGGGACGGTTTCGTCGGACCATGTAGAGAAACTGCGTCTTAATGCCCAGAGCATACGAAGTCCCGCACGGTACAGTTTCCCTGTATTTTCTAGTGATCTCATATCATGTCGTGAGAGAACTCCTAAGTCTCTGACAGATGTGTTGGGATGGAGCAACTGGCCGTCTAAGGTGTATGATCGAGTGGCTGGACGTCTGGTGATACTGATGAACTCCGACTTGCTTGCGTTAAGAGGGAGTTGTATTTCAGTGGACCACGTTGTCAGTCGCTCTAAGTCATGCTGGAGGCGAGCGCAGTCGTCCTGGTTCTCAATGATCCTCCAGATTTGAAATCATCTGCAAAAAGGGCGCATGGTGACTGGAGCTGCTGCGAAAGATTGTTGATATGAATAAGAAATAGTACCGGCCTGAGTACAGTTCCTTGAGGCACGCCACTAGTCGATGGGAACCAGTCTGTCAGGTAGTCATTGACCTGTACTCTAAACCTTCGTCCCACAATAAACTCGTGTAACCCCTGAAGTAACGTGCCACCGATTCCGTATGTCCTCAGTTTACCAGGGAGTACCTCGTGGTTCACTCTGTCAAACGCCTTACTAAAGTCGATGTACACCACGTCAAGATCCTTCGGTTCGTTGAGAGTTAGTACCCACTGGTGGTTTGCGTACATCAAGTTGGTGATGCAGGATCGCCCTTTCGTAAGGCCGTGTTGCGCTGGCGTCAATACGTCCATCGATTCGAAGAACGACAGCAGACATTTTTTCACAACCTTCTCGAGCACTTTGGATAATACCGAAGTCAAACAGATCGGTCTATAGTTCTCTACTTTACTCGGGTCACCACTCTTGGGAAGCGGTCTCACTATCGAGCATTTCCAGTCGTTCGGGACATCCTTCAGAGAGCGATTTATTGAAAAGGTTTGTCCCGGCTGGTGAGATGATAATCGATAGGGACTTGAGTATTAATGGGTGAAGTGCGTCTGGTCCGGGGGGCTTTGCACCATCGAGGTTGACGAGTAGCTAGTACCCTTCGACCGCATCACATGGTAGGCTGTTGAGCAAGACTGGCGCAAACTGTGCCGGTACTGAAACCGCCGCCGGTTTACTGGAAAATACGGTGAGGAAGTGCGTAGCCAAGACGTCCGCGCGCTCCGCGCTTGAAATGTGCGTCTTTCCGTCTAAGCTCTCTAACACCTGTAGGTCGCCCCCAGGTTTCAGTTGACGTTGCAAGGAGGCAAATATTCTTTTAGGTGCAGTTGGGGCCGAGGATGCTAGCTCCTCTTCGAACTGCCGGCGTTGCTTGATCTTTGCGGCGTTACATAAGTTACGCTGCTTCTTGTACACCGTGTAATCCTCATCACAACCCGAGCTGATGTATCTATCCCAAAGTTTACGACGTCGTCGCGCTAACTGTCTGTATTCCCTATCAAACCAATGCGGTTTGACAGGTCCGATTTTTGGATACTTAAGGGGAACGAACCGAGTACAGAGCGAGTTAAGCTTCCCCTTTATTAATGACCACCACGCCTCAAGTGACGCATCATGTGGTAGTGTCCAATCAGTTTGACTTGCGGCTTGGACGAGTCCGTTGAAGTCCGTCTTCCAATAGTTGAATGTCGGCTTCCGTTGATTGTAATATGGTAACGACAGTTCTAAGCTTGCTACAATAGAGCAGTGGTCACTGTTCGCCAGAGGTTCGATTACTCAGATCTCTTTTAGCTTCTGCTCGCAGCTCGTAAACATTAGGTCCAGACAAGATGCCGAGTACGGAGTTACGCGCGTCGGTTGGATGACATGTTGCGTTGCCCCGATTTCAATAGTCATTTTAGCGAATTGTGCCTCAACGTTGCCATGACCGGGAAGAAGTCGAATGGCTGCCCAAAGTATCTTAGGTAAATTTAGATCCCCCATCAGTACGAACTGATGGCGGCTCATGTGCTTCTGTACATGTGGTAGCCAATCGCAACAACGGTTTAATGGGCTCCGGTAGATAACCCCCACTATTAGTTCTGCGCGCCTGAGGCGGATTGTGCACCACAATTGCTCGCATAAACTATCCTCGCTCCGATATGTGCTAGTAAATTTGCCAGCTAAACAAATGAATAAATAAATAATTTCTTTATTCTTGTGCAGTGCGATTTTATGTACAACAGAACACCACCATGAGCCTTTGATTTTCGGTGGCATCGGAAACAAGAGTATCCTTACAACGCGACTTCTTGGGGTATGACGTTGGAGTTCAGCCAAGTATCTGCAAGTCCTAAAACGTCCGGCCGCTCCGAGACAACGAAGCGGCGCAGTTCGTCACGTTTGTTCATTAGGCTGCACACGTTAGCGAATGCCACACAGAGGTCCTGGAAGGTACTGCGGGACGTGCCCGGAGATTGAGCAACCGGTTGATACGGGTTCGTACACTCTTCTTGATCACCCGAAAATTTACAATTTGTAAGTCAGTCTCACCTTCCTCTGTACGGCGTTTGAGCTCAATGACCGCAGTCTTCAAACGATCCCTGTCTTCGGGTTCCAAGTTTTGGCGGATGTGAACTTTTCTGCCTTTCAACCTTGACAGACGAGACAGTATAGGCTGCGGCATATTGGGATTTGCAAAGGTGATTCTCAGAGGTCGACATGACTGGTTAGTTTTCTGGCCAAGTCGGATTACTTGTTTAATCATCACACTGTCTTCGCCCACATCCAAGATTCTATCGATGAGCCCCTGGAGGAACTCAACATCGTGATCATATCGTATCTGAGGGTTTTCATCTTTTGACTCCGGTACGTGGAAGACCATGAGATTATGACGCCTCAACGAAATCGGTGATGAACCTGTGGGAGCAGAACTAGAAATAGTCCTTCCATAAACTCGACAATAGAATGAGACCCATTTTTTGTTATTGTGTATTTCCGAATCTGCAACGTTCTTCGCGATCCTTGCTGAACATGGGCTAGGCTGGTTTCTGTATGTGATGAAATAGCCGATCGGTCTATGATGGTGACTAATCACTAGATATTACGCAGTTTTGAACGCTTTGCTACTCTTTAATGACCTCGAAAGTTGAAACATGTGGCCTGCTATGCAATCCGGTACGTAGGCAGCATACGCTGCGGAAAGCAGGTCAAGCGTAGACAAGCGATGGGGCCACGTGTCAAAGTGAAGTGAGAACGAGGCGGTAGGAACGACAGTCTTTATTGCCAACGAACAACGGGTTCATAGGCTAGCACACACGCGCACACGTAGAGAGGATATTTTCAACCCACCACATACCACATATTGCTCTTACGCGCGGCGTCCCATTCATGCCCCATTTTCAGTCAATCCGTGAGGTACCTTTTGATTCATCTTCCCGTATATCTTCGTTTCAACTTCATATTCTGACCGGGCTGGATTCGTTCAAATGCTCTTGACTTGCTTAAGCGGGGTTGCGTCGCTCTCCTTGTGGTTACTCCTGGGAGCATAAAAGAGGCGTGTCTCCGGAAAATCGGGCTCTTCACCACGACATCCCCCCTCTACTCAGTCTGGGCTTGAGATCGTTTGTTGCTCGTAGACCATTTCCAACTTGTTCCGTAGGCCTAGACCTACTTTGTGGACTTTCGTCCCTAGTGCCCTCGTTAGTTTCCTACTTCCTTAATTTCCGCCGCTTGTTTATTCCGCCTGTGATTCTTGCCTTCCGCGCCACTACAACACGATTCCAATTTCCTTAGGTGTGAGAGGTCTATGAAGCAAAGACCAAGTGCAGTCCCACATACCTCCACACATTAAGATAACTGACTTCCAGATCACACTACAGAATATGGTCGAGATGCCAACTGATGCCATGAAGCACATTGACTTCGGACGCAACAAAGCTCCACTAATGCATGTCTATGAGTTCACAATCATCACGTCTGCGCCGCAATAATGAGAACGCAATTCTTTCCTTTGGTTAGCATTCCCTCAATTGCTCAATGCTTTTTGCATCGCAGTTAAGACCTGATTGCATATGTTACTTGTGCACTTACTCAGGGTCTGTCTGTCTGTCTGCCTTCTGTCTGTCTAGCTGTCTATCGGTCTGTCTGTCTGTTTATCGCGTAGCACAAATATCAGA